TAGGGGGCGCCCCACAGTTTGGGAACCTCTGTACTAGGCCATCAAATCACTACGTTGCCTGTAGGGATTTATAATGTCCAGCAGGTATCACTATTAAATGACACAGTATCAACAGAATCAATACAGTTTTGCTATGGGTCGAAACGATACATGACTCCTCATCTACCCATCACTAGTTAACACCATGCTTCACAATAGGGATGTTAATGTGGAGGGATCTTATTGAAATGTTCTAATTTTTTGTGACCCTCTCAGTCCTTTCCTGATGATTTAAAATATTTTTTGGGGGTATTTGGTAAATTACATAAAACTGTATCATGTAACATTGTAACATTACATAACATAAAATAATAACAATAACAATCTTTATTGTCATTATAAAATCATGCAATGGTTTCATAGATTATAACAAAATTAATGAAAATACTGCTACAGGGTATTTAATGCCCTTATGGCTACCAGGTATAAACTGTTCTTTAGTCTGTTAGTTCTTGCTTTAATGCTCCTGTATCTGCAGCCAGATGGCAGCAGCTGGAACAAATGTTGACAAGGGATCTGGCATTAGTGAGGAAAATGCTGGGAAGCGGAGCTTTATGAGGCTGTCTTCGTAGTCTCACCAAAACTCCGGCTCTGCAGCCTCTCTTCTGTTTTCTTTCTTTGTGCCGTCTGTGTGCCTTTGAAAATGGAGTGGTACTCCATTGAGAGCCGGGAGTTCTTGCTATGTCCTCCGGGATGTTATGAGAGCGTAAAAAATCAGCTGTAACACTCCGTTCGCAGCAAAGACCGATCTTCAGAAGAACATGCTTACTGTAGCAGTGGTTCATGTTTAGGCAAGAGGTGGTTCGCCCAACATAAAGTGAAATGATCCAAGTTAATACCACCGAGACGCAGGAAAAGTGCCGAGCATCTAGTGCGCTGCTGTTAACCGTATCAGAATGCATCAGAATAAATGTATCAGATTGTCTGATTGTTTTCTACAAGTTTAACCTAAATTCATAGAAGACAATTACTTTGCCATCTATGGAAACTATGTTTTTTTTTAAATCAAATGATCTCATCTAACCTTCTCTTCCTTCCGCAATAATAAATTGTACTATTCAAATTAAAGGCTTCACTCAAAGAAAATATAAATACGTAAGTCAATACTGATACTATTGACAATATATTTCGCATCCCTACAACAATATGGGAAGATTTCCACTTTGACGTCTTAATATAACACTGCACTTACACTCAGTTTGTCATGATTGATCTGAAACATGTAAAATATTTTTTACAGTAGCATGGTATTATACAAGTTCAATTACATGAATCTGTATTAATGTAATTGAATACATTAATATTAATGTTTAAGTGTTCTTGCTCTTAAACAAATAAGAAAAATCTAATGTCTATTGTTGTGCTAACAACTACTATTTTTTCCCCTAGAATCTAGTAATGATTTGTTTGTCTACTTGCCCGCTCCATAGCAGCAGTAAGGTTGTCTTCTCTGCACCGGACACTACTACCATGTCAGAGAAAACTCAATACTTTAGTACAATTTTCTTCTTAAAATGTACACAAAATAGTTAATAATGGCAAATTAAAATATGCATTAGACATGTTTCTAAATTACTAAATATGTAAAACGGATAATTTAAATGTATCTTACCTGAGAATCTCCAGTTTACAGTCTGGACTCATCAGTCCACTGCACAGCAGCTTCACTCCTGAATCTGTCAGGTCGTTGTTACTCAGGTCCAGATCTCTGAGACTAGATGTTGTTGAGCTGAGCAACGAGGACAGAGCTTCACAGCTTCTCTCTGAGAGGTTACACCCACTCAGTCTGAGAGGACAGAAGGGGTACAGAGTGATTATCTGTTTTATTTGTTACATAGTTTTATAAAACCAAATACATCTGTACTTACAGAGCTTTGTTAGAGACTTTGACTATTGGCAGCAGCTTCAGAAAAGCTTCATCTGAAGCAGAGTATTTCTTCAGGTCAAACATATCAAAGTCTTTTTCAGATGAAAGTAGGATGAAGTGCAGAGCTGACCACTGAGCAGGAGACAGCTGGTGGGCTGAAATACTTCCTGTTTGTAGAGATTGTTGGATTTCCTCCACCAGAGACTGATCATTTAGTTCATTCAGGCAGTGGAACAGATTGATGCTTTTCTCAACACATGGATCATTATTTATTTTCTCCTTGATGTACTGGGCTGTGTCTTTATTAGCTGTCAAACTTTTTTCTCTCTGTGTCACAAGGCCTCTTAAGTGACGCCTATTGGTCTCCAGTGAAAGACCAAGTAGGAAGCGGAGGAACAAGTCCAGGTGTCCATCTGGACTCTCTAGGGCCATGTCCACAGCACTCTGGTACATCTCTATCTCTGAGGATCCATGGCTTCTTGTTTCGAAGTCCTTGGATTTTGTTTCACCTTTTGCCAGCAGATTGACTCCAGATTTGATGAAGGTCAGATGAACATGAAGAGCAGCCAGAAACTCCTGAACACTCAGGTGGACGAAGCAGAACACCTTGTTCTGGTACAGCCCTCTCTCTTCTCTGAAGATCTGTGTGAAAACTCCTGAACACACTGAAGCTGCTCTGATATCGATGCCACACTCTGCCAGGTCTGATTCATAGAAGATCAGGTTTCTTTTCATCAGCTGCTCAAAAGCCAGTTTTCCCAGAGACTCGATCATCTTCTGGTTCTCTGGACTCCAGTGTGAGTCTGTCTCAGCTCTTCCGTTATACTTGACCTTCTTCAGTTTGGTCTGAACCACCAGGAAGTGGATGTACATCTCAGTCAGGGTCTTTGGCAGATCTTCTCCATCTTTCTTGTTCAACATGTCTTCCACAACTGTAGCAGTGATCCAGCAGAAGATTGGGATGTGGCACATGATGTGGAGGCTTCTGGATTTCTTTATGTGGGAGATTACTAATCTGGCCTCCTCCTTATATCTAAACTTTTTAGTGAAGTACTCGTCTTTCTGTGGGTCAGTGAATCCTCTGATCTCTGTCACCATGCC